CTCTTCTTCAAGCTTCGAACTGTGATTATTCTTTAATTTTGATTTATTTTCTTGGATACAGCAGCTAGTAAGTTGAGATGTTGGCCTATGAGTTTCCTGTTCATTTATGTACTCCTATTCTCTTATGATTTCTGAGTTTGTGCTTTGATAACGATCCTTAATTTGTTTTCTGGTATATATGTTTTCATGGATGATGATTTTGTTCCTTTTTTCCCCTCTTGTTTTTTCAAATTAAGTCGGTAACCCCTGAAATACTACTATTTAATATTTATGGGATCCCTTACCCATCACGATATATTCTATTTGATTTAGCATTTGGCAAGTCTACTATTTAAATCATTCTAAAAATGAAGTTAGAACCGAACAAACCGAACCGAACCGCACCGAACCGACTTGCAACGGTTCGGTTCGGTTTTGAATTATATGCGGTTCAGTTCGGTTGTTCAAAATTTGGTAAAAACCGACCCGAACCGAACCGTGCTCAGCCCTAAGCACGAGATTGCAGCTCAGAGATCCTTTGCTTTGTTCGACTTCAGCAAAAACTTCCCCCTTTTACGTTTCACGAGAAGACAGAGAATGGATCTAAGAGAGGAATTAGTTTGCAGGAAATAGAGGAGGGCGACGAGAACCCAACGGGAAGAGGAGGCGGCGAAAGATTTAGTAGAGGGAAGAGGAGGTGTCAGGTCAGATTTCAAGGTAGGAAGAGGAGGTGACAGTTAGAAATTGACAGCGAGAAATAGAGGTGGGTAAAAAAGGAGGGAAGCGGTGACGAGAATGAGAGTTTTTGTTTCGGGAGCTGAGAAAAGGATAAACTGGATGGATTTTGTCAGATGTCCACCCCACACCCACATGAATGAGAGGATTTTACAAATCCTAAAATATATTACTTTTTTATTATTTGGGGATTTAATATTCCAAAACTAATTTTGAAGCAAACAAATTTTATGGAATACCAAAACTCAAAAAAAAACCTCTTTTTTACATCCCAAAACTTGAAATCCATCCTATATCCCAAAAAATGAAACAAACACCCCTTTAGAGCTGCTCTAGAGAGTGAAGGATGTGTTATTTAATGATTTTTCATGTTTTGCCACGGCATGAAAGGAAGATTTGGGAACTTTTAAAAGGGGCTTGGGGGTTTTTGTGTAGATTAAGATCATAAATCTTCTCTAGATACTTTGGTGTAGTGAGGCATTTGGGGATATCTTCAAGTCTTTGACTCTCTCATATCTCTGAGTAAAAGTACATTGGCAAGGGAAAGTGCCAATGAAGTTTGAACTATTATAACAGTGGAGGATCTTGTTGACATCCCAAGCATGTTTTCTACACCGATAAAAGTCCTTTTGATAGGAATAGGGTGAGAAGTTTAGTCCAGATCATCCTATATAGGGTGAGAAGTTTAGTCTAGATCATCCTATGTGGTAGAGCTTTTACCTTTGATGAGCTTACCAAGGCAAAAATGAAATCACCTACTCTTTAAGGAGGACAATAGTTCCTCTTTTCTTCACTAGTCTGACAGGGTTCAATAGTACACAAAGATGGATGAGATGATAGTGGATTAGCCCACCACAGCCAGCAAAGGACTGAAGGGTTAATCTTCTCTGTCACGTGTTCAGTGACTAGTAGTCAGGGACCCCAGTATTAGGGATTCGGGGCAATCAAGTAAATTGATGTTAGCTGATAAGGGAATAAAAGTTACCCCTCTAGCTTCAAATCAGTAGGCTTAAAGGAGAAATTGGAGGGACTAGGTGATTCGGTTGAGCCATTCTGATTCTGTTCCTCTTGTAATAAAGTTCTAACTAGATGTAGTGGATCTCCTACAAACTTTTTTCAGCATGAAATTAATTGACAAAGAAGAAGGAAAGATGCTAGGGTTATTTTGGACAAAACTAACATGGAAAAGTTTGGGCTACTCAACCCGGTCCAATTAGGCCCCTATAATCAAGACCAACAATTAAGGGAAGACTCGTTTGATCCAACAATGAACCAAGCTCATATTGCTCGACCTCATTTTATGAGTGATTCAATAGATGCAGCATCCTCTCAATTAGGCCCACCTAGTTTTACGAAAGAAGAGAATCAAGCCTAAGAAGAAAGCACCCGACTCCAAAGCAGCCTGTGATTTCAAGCCCTTTAATAGGTATCTCTCTGCATCAGAGAGGTTTGTCCTGATGGTGTCGTCTTTGTCTTTCTCCTTAAATTCTCACAAGATGAGAAAAATAGTTGACATTGCCTCGTCATCTACCTATTATTATTTGAGAAAATTGCTTGTAGCAACCTCAAAGTAAAAACTTATGTATCCTCCTCTCCGGGGAAAATGTACATACTTTCCCACCTTTCTATAGGTAAGTTTGTGCAATTACACCCCCAACAGTGTGTAAGCCCACAATTGATTAAGAAACACACCAAAACACCCTTCTTAGTTAAGTGTGTTTGGTAACCAAAGTGTTTCTTTTTGTAGTGTTTTTTTAAAAACGCCACACCATGGTGTTTATTTTTCAAACGTGTTTTCAAAACACCATTTATAGTTATTATTTATATAGCGGCGGTGGAGGTGGCGGTGGCGACGGCGCGCAGCTGGCGGCGACCAGCGATGCCGGGCGATGACGGCGATGAGCGGCAGGTGAACGCGGCGGGTGGCGACGGCCGGGATTGGGAGCGTCGTCCGACGCTTTGACTGTTGGCCGACGAGCGGCTGGCAGACGACCCCCGGAGCGGCCTGCGGGTTTGTCGGCCCGCGGACGCCGAATTTGGCCGGCGGCGGCGGGCGGCGGACGGCCCAATGGGCAACGCGTCGGCGGCGCGACGCGAACGTGCAGGCCGCGGCGACGGTGGCGGGCGGCGGAGGGAGCGACGCCGCAGGTTAGCGCGGCGGTGAACCGGCGGGGCCCTGCAAGTGGTGGCAGCGGTGCGCACGGCGGGTGGTGGCGGTGCAGCGGACGGCGCGACAGCAGCGGCCCGGGGCGGCGGCGGCGACAGCGGGTGGTGCGGCGGAGCGAACGGCGACGAGCGCCGGTGGCGGCGACGGGGACGCGACGGACAGCAGTTTAGAGAAAACGACAGCGACCGCGGCAAACGACGATGGCGGCCACTGCGGGAGGGGTGGCAACGGGAGGCGCGGCAGGTTGGCGGCACGGCGGGAGTGGCGGTGCCGCCGAGCGGCGGCGTTTTACCGGACGGTGGGCTTAGATGAAAAAACGGAATCTCAAAACACATTTTTGGTGTTTTAAGAAAAGCGTTTATTTTTTAGATTTTGTAAAAGGGTCAAGTCAAAAAATCACCTCGGTTGCCAAACACGTTTTATTGTTTTTAAAGCAAACTCCGCTTTTTTCTCTCGAAGAAATTTTCTAAACAAACCCTTTCATAGTTTTTTTCTAAAACTAGACCCCCTTGAGGTTTTTTTTACAAAAATCGACTCATTTTGTCTTACTCCGGTTTCTAAATAGTCGGGGGTTGCAAACCCCGACTATTTAGTGCATAGAATATTAGGGTTTAGGGTTATAATTGGGGGTTTACCACCTCCTAAATAGTCGGGGTTGGCAACACCGACTATATAGGAATCGGATTAAGATAAAATGGGTCTATTTTTGTAAATAAAACTCAAGATGGTCTATATTTAGAAAAAAATTATGAAAGGATTTATTTAGAAAATTTCTTTTTTTTCTCTCTCCTACGTTTCCCGAGATCCCCCTACCACTGAACATCTCTTTTCACCTCTCTGAAAAAGAACAAATTTTCGATTTAAACTCATTTAATTTTTTTATTAAAAAATTCGACCCAATCAATTTTTTATTATCAAAACCGACCCATTTCGTGCCACGTCAGCAGCGTGGCCACGAAATGGGTCGGTTTTTTTTTTAAATGACGCCGCTAAATAGTCAGGGTTGCCAACCCCGACTATTTAGTTATGTCGGGGTTGACAACCCCGACTATTTAGCTAAGGGCACGCTAAATTAGTCGGGGTTTCCAACCCCGACTAATTTAGGCCCCTGCCTAATTGGTCGGGGTTGGCAACCCTGACCATTTGGCACAGAGGTTCACTTCGCTACGACAAAATGGTCGGGGTTCCCAACCCCGACCATTTGGCAGAGACTCTGTCTCAGCCGCGAGCGGTGAAAAAGGCTAATTGTCAATAGTCGGGGTTCACAACCCCGACTATTTGTTCACTGGGCCCCCGACCTATATAAAGGTCACGACTTCACTCTCTCAATCATTTCCGGTTCCAGCCGCGTCTCTCTCTCTCATTTTCATCGATCTCCTCCTCCCAAACTCTCTTTGAGCCACGGATCGCATCTTTCTCTCCTCTTTTTTTGTGCGGAATTCTAGGGGTGAAAGATCTACAGGTACTCTCTCCCTTCTCTCTTCTTTTGACACCTAGAAATCTAGGGTTTTCTCTCCAAAACGAAATTATAGTGTTTGAACTCTATTTGTAGTGGTTTATTTAGAAATTTTATTCTTGTTGTAGTTGAAATTAAATATTTGGGGGCATAGAATACTCAATTTTAGGGTTTAGAATTTGGGGGTTGGGGGTTTACGGTTGTAATTGGGTTTTAGGGTTGTAATTAGGTTTTAGGGTATTAATTGATAATATTTTTAAATTTTTTGCATTTAAATGATATAATTTTGATTTGTATAGGTTGAACAATATGATTTTTATTGCTTGCTCTTATGGTGGAACGATTAAGTATGGAATGAATAATATGCCAATGTACGTCGGAGGGGTGACAATTTCGTTAATGATATCGGAATCATACAGTTACATTGACTTGGTTAATGAAATTCATGGAGTTACGACAATTAACCCACGAGATTGCAGGCTAAAAATAATATGCAATTGGCAGATAACTTATGATAGAACGTCCGCCGTTGAGATCTCAAACGATCATTCCATGAGTATTTTGTTTAATTTGAGCAAGTCACAACCAACGGTAGAATTGTTTATTGAAACGGTGCCACATAGTACGGGCCGAATATTCAACCCTCCAGGAGAATTTTCACGCATGTTAGATTTGGAAGTTGAGTCTGAAGGCTTTCTTTCTTCTTCGAGTGAAATACAGCGGACTCAATTTCAATATAAGGGTGGTGCACCTTCATATGAAGAGGGTGAAAGAAGCGACGCCTCTGATGGTGAAGATGAAGATAGTGCAACACTTGACAACATGCAATTTGTGGGTGAAGATGATGAAGAGAATCTGGATTGGCCAGATGAAGCTTATGTTAATAATGAATATATGGAGTACGAAGAACCACCCCCCGACGAGTTTGAGGATGATGAGTGGGTTCGTTCTTCCACAGCACATGATATCCGCATTGGTGAAAGTTCATCCAATAAAGGAGATGATGAGGAGGTTCCTTTCAGAGTTGGTGAATTATTTGAGACTAAAGACCAATTGGTAGATGCTATTCGTGATTACTCAATCAAAAAGTTGGTCAAATTCAAGCAAATTAAAAGCACTCGTACAAGTTATGAGGCAATTTGTTTTATGAATACACAAAGGCAAGGTCGGGCAGAGGGGAATGAATCTGATTACGCATGTCCTTGGAAGTTATATGCATTTGTCGGAAAGAAACATAATGGGTATTTTAGGATCACAAAATACTATGGTGTTCATACATGTAACAATCCAATGTTCGAGAGAGACCACAGTGGTGCCTCCGCCTCTTACATAGCTCGGTTGATTATGCCAAGATTAAAGAAGAAGCTTGAACTAAGGACCGATGACATAATTGAGAGAGTGTCACATGATAAGTGGATTGAAATATCGTATATCAAAGCGAGGAATGCAAGGAGAATTGCGATGACAAAAATATTTGGTGATTGGGAAAGGTATTACGCGACTCTGCCTCAATATCTTGATGCGATCAAAAGAAGCAATCCTGGATCTGAATACAAACTCATAACCAAAGAGGTCAATCCGGGAGTTCATAAATTCACCTCTGTATTTTGGGTATTTGGTCCTTCGATCGAGGGATTTAAATTTTTTCGGCCGATCCTTAGCATTGATGGGACACACTTATACGGTAAATATAAGGGTGTGTTGCTTGTCGCTACAGGAGTAGATGCAGATGGGGGCTTATTTCCTTTGGCCTTCGTAGTTGTAGAGGTTGATAATAGTGAAAATTGGGAGTGGTTTTTTTCTTGCATCCAATTATATATTTTTAATGTGTGGCCTCCTAGAAAAATTACTTTTATATCCGATAGGATGAAAGGTATTCCAAGAGCATTGTACAGGAGATTTGGCTCTGATCACAATCACCGCTATTGCTTACGACACATTAGAGCTAATTTTAAAAAGAGCTTTGGTCAAGTACATCTACAAAACCTTCTTTGGCAAGGGGGTGTTACACCCGAAACATGTGTGTATGATCGGATACGGGATCAAATCAAGGCAACATCTCTAGCTGCACATGATTGGATTGAGAGTAGTTTGGGAGGCGATTACGTCGACCGGTGGGCTCTAAGTAAAGATGGAGGGATCGCTATTGCATGATGACAACTAATTATTCTGAAAGCTTCAATGGTGTACTTAAGGGGGCTCGAGCAATGCCCATACAGGCGTTGGTTGCGAGGACATTTTATAGACTAAATAAGTATTTTGTCAAGCGGCGAGAGGATGGAGCAAAGTGGGGGACGTTGTTGACCCTAAAAAATGAAGAGATTATAGGAGCTCGTGTCAAGCAGGCCAGATTGACTAAGATTGTGAGATTTGCTATAAATGAATGAGAGGTTACAGACAATCACGGTCATAATTACACCGTCAATCTATGAGGAACACAATGCGCATGCACCTGTAACATTCTAGAATTGCAAAAATTGCCATGTGCACATGTTATAGCAGTTACGACCAAGCAATTTGGGGGTGCAAATACATCGTATTACACATATGCTTCTGAGTGGTACTAATCAAGCCACTATAGAGATTCATATAGTCAGTTTTTTCATCCCATTGTAGATAGTTGTTACTGGCCACCCTATAACGGGCCGCATGTGTTACCTCCTGAATTTAAGCGGCAAGCCGGACGCCCGAGATCAACACGCATAAAGTCTACGATGGATGGAGGTCGGGAAGGAGTTCCAAAAACAAATAGATGTGGATATTGTAGACAACCGGGCCACAGGAGATCTCACTGTCCCACCAATCCAAATAAATAGCAATTAATGGGTATAATTATTCTATTCTTTGTTAATTATTCAACTTCGTTTATACTTCATTATATTCTACTCCATTATATCATCATATGTGTTTCATTTATATCATCATATATGCAGTTATGGAGGCGGGGCCATTGACGTATGAGGTCCTTTATGACCAACCACGACATCGATCCACGAAGATTGACACTGGGGAGGTAATTAGATTGGTAGTTATAAATTACATTTTCATTCAAGGATTATTCTAAGTTATTGGCTGTTACTGAACATTTACACTGTTTATTATATGCAGGCCCCGAGCATTACTATTGTAGATCACACTCGTGCACACTCGAGCTGGGAGTTGACCGATCCACATGTCCAATATTATGTTCGTCAAGCATGCTTCTTTGAGTGCTCACAAATTAAATGGGTGAGAATTGATTGGGCTCTCTTGACAGCACTGGTTGAACGATGGAGGCCCGAGACAAGCACATTCCACCTGCGCCAAGGAGAGTCGACGATTACATTGCAGGGTGTAGGGGTTTTGCTTGGACTCCGAGTGGATGGAGATGCTGTCACAGGTAGCGACGACTTCAACTAGACAGGCAAGTGTGAAGTAATGTTGGGTCAAGTTCCTCACATGAGGGGTGGAAGGATCAAACTTGAATGGTTGAGAAACAATTTTATGAATGTTCCGATCGATGCGACCGAGGAGATCGTCAAGATGTATGCCCGTGCATACATACTTCACATGATCGGTACTATTCTATTCCCGGATTCCACGAAGGATTCGGTGCACGTGAGGTGGTTGCCACTCCTGGAGGATCTTGTGGATTGTGGGGGATTGTCATGGGGGAGTGCCGTGTTAGCGTATCTGTATAGGGAGATGACCAAAGTGGCTCTTGTTCAAAACAAAGAATTCAAGGGTTGTCTCACTCTGCTACAGATATGGTCTTGGGAGAGATTGCATTTGGGTTGCCCAGATTTGAGAGAGGCACGTGCTCTCGATGGCAATATTCCGTTAGGCTGCAGGTATTACTAAGTTATTTTAAAAAATATATGATTACATGTATTTTTATACATTTGTTTTAATTTATACTAACTCATTGTATATAAATTAGATGGAATGTATCTAGATCATGGCATACCTCACCAAAGGGCCATGAAAACTTCTATAGGAACGAGCTCGATCAAATGGAGGACGAACAGGTATTAAATCATAATATCTAAAAATTTTCAATCATTACATCATTTATTACTGAAATCTGCTTTACTTTATCTTTTTATAGGTCAAGTGGATGCCATATGAACAAGTTTTAGAGTCACTACCAGATATATGCACAGAAGAGCCGGATGTGTGGCGTGCTCCCATCCCGATCATATGTTTTGAGATTATCGAGATGCACGTGCCCAACCGTGTGCTCCGACAATTTGGGCTACAACAACATATCCCGGGCCCTGTGGAGATAATAGAGAGAAATCCCAGAAAAGGTGCACATCGTCAAGATTGGGAACATATTCACAGTGCTTACATCGGGAGGTGGGATAACAGGGAAGAACATTTAGTGATGGAGAGGGTTGACGCACCTGACCTAGGTGTGTATTTGCGGTGGTATTGGGGGATTACTCGCCGGTGGATATTTCAGGAGAACAAAGCCCCTAAGGAATACATACCAAGAGGCCCAGTTGAGAGAGAGTTGGTAAGTGTATAAGCAAAATATACAGTTACCTTGTGAGTTTTATTTTATTATCATCCAAATCATAATAGCTTTCTTGGGGTTTTTATCGTATAGGTACAAGAGCTCGAAGAACTTTCTACTATGGCGCATGATGCAATCCGAACAACTACCGAGCCAGGGCCGAGGAACACGTTCCTTCGCATGATCAAAAAGATTCGGTCCGCTCTTCAAAGGACGCGTAATGCAAGACGAGATGGACGTGAGGAGCGACCAATTGAGTACGGTCGTCGCCGGTTCCGAGGACACACAGGGGCAGGCTCAAGCAGTGCACATGATGAAGCTGTCAGCTCACAGCAGGCCCAAGCCGGATGTTCACAGTCAGTTCGAGTCGATGAGGATGTCATGCACTCCCAACTTCACACACAACCGGACGAGTAACTGATCCGAGCTCACGTCGAAGGTGAACGTGTCAGGGGGAGAGGGAGGGGGAGGGGGAGAGGGAGAGGAAAGGGAGTTGTATCCGATTGAAATTGAATATTATGTATTTGATTGAGTATTGATAGGATGTTTGCGTTTGAAACTAAATATTATGTATTAGATCGAGTATTGATTATTAGTATGTGAATTGCATGGTATGTATCCGATTGATTATGGTTTTTTATTTGAGATTATTGATTGGTATGTGTGTTATTGTGATTGTGATTGAATTGTGGATTGATATGTAACAGCAGGAGTTTGAATTTCCAGCGGAGTTCGTATTTCCAGCTATTTTTAGCTGGAAGAGTCTGCCAAATGTTCGGGGTTGGGAACCCCAACCATTTTGTGCACGAACACAAAATGGTCGGGGTTCCCAAACCCGACAGTTTTGTCATAGTGAAGTGAACAGCACCTACCTCTCTGCCAAATGGTCGGGGTTGCCAACCCCGACCAATTAGGCAGGGGCCTAAATTAGTCGGGGTTGGAAACCCCGACTATTTTAGCGTGCCCTTAGCTAAATAGTCGGGGTTGGCAACCCCGACTATTTAGCGGCGTCATTTAAAAAAAACCGACCCATTTCGTGGCCACACTGCTGACGTGGCACGAAATGGGTCGGTTTTGATAATAAAAAGTGGATTGGGTCGAATTTTTTAATAAAAAAATTAAGTGAGTTTAAATCGAAAATTTGTTCCTCTGAAAAATTCTTCTCCCTTCTTCTTCTTCTTTCTGAACTGAAAATACCCAACTCCTGATCCTAATATCATAAGCTTCTATCCCTCTTCTTCTCAAAAGATCAATTGAGAAATCAAAACCCTCAATTTTGAGCCCATTATAAAATTTTGGTGTTTTTTGATGAAATCTACCCTAATCCATGGCAAAATCATGTTCATCAATTAAATCAGCAACATAGAAGGATGATTTGTAAGTATGAATTTGTCATTTGAAGTAACTATTTTTTTCTTGATTTATAAATTCGTAAGCAATGCAAATTAATTTTTCATGGCTTTGAAATTGGGTAAGAGAGATGTGGAGTTTCAATGGCTTTGAATCAATGTCTAGCTTTGATTAGGGGTTATTAGATAGTAGTTTTCCAATTCGTGGTATTTCAAAAAAAATTCAATTAGTTTTTCAATTTGGATCTTTGCAACTTCCATGCAATTAAACTGGCAGTTTGTGATGAGATTTCACTAAAAAGAAACAGAACAGACAGGCTTTGCTACTCATTGAAAGTCTCTGTACAAAATTTTTGTGTGAATAATTGAGTTAGCATTAGAATGCTGACTGTTTGAGTGAGTTTATATAAGAAGAGACCATCTTGCAAGTGGTGAACATCTCTTGCGTGATTCTCTCATGCATACAAAATTCAAGGAGTCTAGTCTATGTATGCATCTCTGACATGCGCTTACAAACTACAAAGGAAAAGAAAAACAATGGAATAAGTATGTGGAAAATGTATATTGTGATTTTAAATTTTAAAAACATAGCTTAATGCAAATATTATGTGAATTACTAAGAAAATGGTATTCCATGCACACTGAATATATAGAAATTACTCAGTTATCCCTTATCTGTAGTATGTATCCAAGTTTCTCTATGTTCTGGAATCTTAATTTCTTATTTAATATGTGTATGTTATCTTTGTGTTTTGCAGTAAGGATGAATGTAATATATCGAAAGATAAAAGAATATGCGCAAACATACAAGGGTATTGTGATTTTTTGTGGAAGAAATTGTTCCGCATATGAGGCCAAAAATTTGAAATGCTTATGGATCATCCAATTTAAAAACCTATATTAGATTTGGAGCAATTCCAGCTGATCAAGCAACAATGTTGTTACTCCTTGATCATCTTGATTTGGCGACTGGAAATTTCTTTTTCAATGATAATCAAACAGGAAAAAAGCGGGGATATACTTTTGATGTGAAATGGGTGCAAAAGCAAACTAGAATAAAGCACGAAGTGGAGAAACCTAAACCCAATCATGATACAACTAATAGGATTTGGAGTACCCACTTCAACATGAAACAATAGAAAGAGTATAAAAGCGGATGAGAATGTGTTGAACATTTAAAGTATCTTATAGTGATATGGACTCCAACTGTAAGGATGAATATTCCAAGGCATATGTTCAAGTATATAACTAGCGTAGATGTAATAGATAATTTCCCTTGTGTGGCTATAATATATAAAGAAGTATGAGATTCACCAAAGGCTGCGAAGATAGCTACAAAGGAACTACATACTTGAATGGTTGTGCTCCCTTGCTATCGGTGAGTGTAAAAGTTATTTCTGACATTTGTAGTTGTTAACATGTGACTATTGTCACTCATATGTGACATTCGTATTTACATGTGATATTTGTTATGCATATGTGACATTTATGGAATGTTACATTGAGTTTTTCTAGTTTTTCTATGTGATAGTTATCCATGTTTAGTGATATTTGACTATTAGTGAGCTGATTTCATTGTTGCTTTTTTGGAGCTCTAGTGTTATGATAGCATAGGCATCAAAAAATATGTTAGAGTCAAAGATCGAAAGCTACCCATGACTAATTGGACACTGAAAGGTAAGAAAGCGGGTTCATTATAAAGTACGACAATTCTGAAGAAGTCTGAAGCCGCAATCCACATCTTACTTGAACAAGAGATGTCATGGTACATTCATGAGGAGATTAAGCAAGATCATACAAGTAGGAAGTCTAAAAGAGAGGAGAAATCAGACACTAAAACCTCTATTAAAAAAGTGTTAAAAAAGAGGAAGATAATAAGGGGGAAATCCACTATTGCACGGGTAAGACAAATTTCTTGTTCTTAATTTTATTATCAGTGACATTTATATTTGAATTGTTATTAGTATTTTTATAATTTACTATTTATTGTTAAGATGTGAATTGTGTAAATTTTATGTGATATATGTAGTTTCTATATAATATTTATAGCTAATATTTGACTTCTACTTCTTATATGTGACATTACTAACTAAAATGTTAATTATTAATGTAGATTCTTGAGCAAAAGTTTAAGGAGGCAAATAAAATGCAAGAGGAGATTAATAATTTGGAATCGGAAGGGAAGATGAAATTTTGGAGGAATAAATCTCATATGGAGAAGAAGTATTTTCACACCTCTCTTGAGAAGCCAATGTTGAATGAAACATATGAGAAAGTAATTGTAAGACTCACCAAAGGCCATTGAGGATATTGACAAAAGGTTTGCACAAGTGAAGGAAAATTAGCTAATGAAAGGCAACATTTACATGAAAGACAATTAATTTGTGGATAGACTAATTAGGGTAGTAAACCATTGGAATGTCTTGTGCAATCAAATATTTAATCTTTTGTTGTCTCCTTAGTATGCTAAGATTTAGAATAATAGCTTTTAAACCGTATTGAGAGTGCAATTCCTTTCTAATGTTAGTTGGGGTGATATAAGGATGACTCTTCATAATTGATTATAGTATACTAACGATTCACCTCCTCGATGCTCTAGAATAACCAGCGGTGTTGTTATGTCGTTCACAAGTATATTGAGGAATAAATTATTTTTATATTTTATAGTAAAGGTCAACACATGACTCAATGGTGAAGCGTGAAACACTCACATGCATTTTGTTTCTTTCTTGAACATGCAATTAGCACGAATTTGTTCTAGCTCATTATTAACATATTTAAAAGAGAACTTTTTAACTATAGAGTAGTATATAAAAGCTATTTTAGCTTCTTTTGCACTTTCAAATTGTTGCCCTTCTCCAATAATTACCCCGTGCCACCGTGTGGGGATACCCGTCGAGTCACTTACTATGTCATCCATAATCCACACTTGGTCTCCTTGAGGATTGTCATTTGGAATCCTCTCTAATTCTTGGATACGCCCCGATAATTGTGAGTTTAGAGTAGGAAGATTATAGGTTGAATAAAACATATGATACATATAAGTCACGTGTAAAAAATAAACGACAATTAATTTGTAAAGGTGACTAGTAAAATCTAAATGTCACTTGTAAATGCTATAGGTCACATGTAAGAAGTTAATATCACAGTTTTCAACATTACGTGTTTACAGAGGCTGAAAGGAATCTTCTGAATACTTACTTAACCTCTGTTTCTGCCCTTATAGCATGCATGGATCCTTCATCTTTTTTAGAAATTATCATAGTTGTCATATAAAACAAAACCCCATTGTACGATAATCTATTATGTTGGGAATATCTTCATCTTTTGAAAGCTCAAAGGAGACATTGAGAAACTTCTCGAGAGAGTAACTTATCAATAAACTTTCATACGCTAATTTTAAATTCTCTGAGGCATGCATCTTCAATTCAGCTAGGCTTGTTGTAGGACTTACTTTAATGCGGTTAGCATTGGTTTTCGATGTAATCACACATAGTTAAGACTTATCCATTTGGTTGTTGAAGAAGTTAAGAGGAAAAAATGAAGAGGAGAGAAGATATGAAAGAGATGTAGTTTGGTTGTCGAAGAACTTATGAGTAGAATCCAAAGAGGGGAAAGATATGGGAGAGCACCTAAATGGTAAGTACAAAATGTTATGGCAATTACTTCCAGAGAACAAATTTTATCCCCCCCCCTAACCACCACCACCACCACCACAAAAAAAACCCCTCTCATTGCCATTAATGCAAGATTTTCTCTTGATTTTTTCTTCTAGCTTGAAATTTTTCTCCCATTAATTGTCAAACCCTATTGGCTTGCCAAAAATTGAGTAAGACAAAAAAAAAATTTCACAACGCATAGAGTTTGACTTTTAATCTTTTTTTTTTGGTTGGGGGTATTTCATCATGGACAATTAGGTCCAAGTGCTAAAATGAGTTTAACTTTTAATCCTTTTTTTTTGTTGGGGGGGAGGTGGGGTGGGGTCTTCCCTTTCTACAATTTACTTTTATAAGCAATTTTCGCTATTATTTTTCAAGAAAAACTATTTTTTGGTGTTCTACATTATGTTAATCACCTTTTAAAAAATTCCAAATATATCCCAAAAATTATACATTCAACCTCCAATAATGTGACAACTTCATGAACGGATAAGTTTGGAGGGGAAAAAAATCACCATCAGACCAATGATCTCAACCAAAAAATTCGAAAACCGTCATCTCAACGAAACCTCCTCCTAACTAGTTCCTTTGCTTTCTTTCGAAATATACCGACTTAAAAAACCATGCTCAAGAAAAATGCCACAATCACAAAAAACACGTTCAATAAACAAATATGACTTAAATTCATGATTACCGTGCACCTAAATCAGTTGTCTTTTGTGAAAAATTCAATAGACTTATGGAAATGGAGTCTTTTACTGTTTAAGAAAATCCATTCTTTTTGGTATATCCATATGTTAGTCCAATTTTAAAAATAAAAATATTTCAAACATATCCCAAAAATTATACATACAACCTCCAACAATTTGACAACTTGTCATAGGGGAGAATGACAAAGATAACCATCAGACCCATGATCTCAACCAAAAAAATCCGGAACTGCCATTTTATAACCAAAATGGTTCAAACTCCTAGTAACTGCTTCCTTCTTCTTTCCAAAAATTGTGACTGTCGTTCAAAAGTCCTCCATAAAACCAATCACAGGAAAAGGTTATATCACAACGTTTACTTATTCTGTCTCCAGTACCAAATTACACAATATGTATAGAAATTAGATGGATAAAGATACAGAGAAACAGAAAGATACAAATTTCATATACGAAGAAATTTCATCGCAATCACACCCCCGGGGTGGCAAACGGGTCGGGTTGGGTTAGGTCGGGTCAATTATGACTCGACCTGTATAAGTGTGACCCGACCCGACCCATTTAATAAATGGGTCAATATGATTCGACCCGTTTATTAAACGGGTTAGCCGACCCGATCCATATAACCCAAATGACCCGTTTTTAGTTTTCAGGGTTCAATGTGATTTGCAGATTGTTTGGTTGACACATATGTCGTAGTTTTCAACATCTCCAACGCCTTGGAGCAATGATGAGCATCATCTAACAGAAAGGCAACAAAGAGAAAAAGAAAAATGATACAAGAACATAAGACGAACAGTAAATATATGCTAGCAAAAAAAACATTTGGAAGCAATAAATAATTTCATCCAAATCGCTCGAAGTAACACGTCATCCTAGTTTTACCAAAACAAATCATCCAAATAAAAATTTCATCCAAATCGCTCACCTTGCTCATTTCTAGCGGTGAAAACGATGGAGGCGGTCTCGTCACTGATCAAGCACTCAGAGCTCTTGGTCTGACGAAGGTGAGGAGACGCGGCCCGCCCCTTTTGAAGCACCGTGTTCGAGGTCTCACCGTCGCTCGCTGCTCCCTATCGCTCGCAGTCACTCGTCGTCACTTGCCCCCATCGCTCGTTGCCCTCGCTCGCCGCCGTTCGCCACCACAGAATCAAGCTCTGGGGTTTCTGAAAGAGTCAGTCGGGTTCTGGTTCTTCACTTCTTATTCGGAGGTTTGTGATATACGGGTCAGTCGGGTCAACCCGAATTGACCCATTTAATAAATGGGTAAATTTGGGTTGACCCGTTTATGACCCAACCCATATAATTTGACCCATATCCATTATAAACGGATCGGATCAGGTTGATGGGTCGGGTCATAAATTATCACCCCTAATCACAAGCCCTCCATTTACCTATTCTTTTTGGCCCTGATGAAGATATTTTAGTTGTACGTCTATTTTAGTTGTTTGTCCTTTGATTACCCACAATCTTTTATCACAGCCACAAAAGCAGGTGGGATCTCTAGCAGTGTCAATAATTTTACGGTCCTTAATACACAATTTTATCTTTCATCGAGAAACAAAAAACAAGACATTACTTGCAACAGTTCAATCGTGCAGAAATCTCAAAGAAAAATAATAGAATGCAACATCAGCTCATCTAAACAACTATATTAACCAAAGCATCGAGCACGGCTTGTCTAGTTGGCAAAGCTGGGATAGCTCCTCTCCCCATTACTGTCAATGCTCCACATGCATTTGCAAACTTGAGAGCATCTCTAAGTCGACCTTCATCCTGTTTTAGCATTGAACAAGAGAAGATCAGTCTACAATATAGAACAAGCCAGAGCATAACTTGCAACAAATATTTACCATGCCTCACATGTAAATTAATGAGTACATGTGTCAACAAGTTCGCTGCAAATCACTTGGGTAAATTGAAAACAAATCCCTACATTGGTGACCACTTGTATCCTCTAAACTTTTTATTTTAGGTTATTTCGTAGAAACAACCTTTAAAATATAGTCATTCTATAGAAACCACCTCTGGTTTTCTATTTATACATAAACCATCTTTAAAGTTTTTTTCTTTTGCAATCAACCACTTAGACCTACTTTGAAGTCATGTTTTTTCAGTATTCCTGTAACTATTAGTTGTCATATACCAATTATATTAGAGAGATAGTCCTTAATTAAGGTTAGGTGGGGTTATCAAAAAATTTATCTAAAAAGTAGGTCCAGGTGGTTGATTGCAACAAAAAGCACTTTAAGGTAGTTTATGTATAATTTGAAAATAAAATGTGATTTCTAAAAGCTGACCATATTTTAAAGAGGGTTTCTATGAAAGAAAAAACCTTTATTTTATCAGGAGTTTTTCTCCTGAAACTCAGCTGAAAAAACTTTTTGCCATCAACTTACATGGCAATTTAGTATTTTTTTCCAGTAAAACCATGGAAACTTTAAGTCATTGCCACATAATTCTAGGAGTGTCCATTTGGGTCAGCCTGAAAATCTAGGGTCGGGCCAAGCAAAAGGCCTGACCAAACCAGGACCCGGGCCCGATTTTCTGTAACATACTTTTATAGGTTTGTCTTAGTTGTGTCAGTCGAGGAAGACATTTATGTGATATTATACTGTCAGCTGGTGCAGTAAAACCAGCAAAGCATACTTGAGAATATTCATGCCCTAAATAAAGCATATGTAGCTAGAAATTCATCAATAGCACTATCCTGTTTAGTGATGGTCATTTAGCATGCGTGATGTTGAGCTTTCCTGTATTTAGTTAGTTTCCTATATTTAGTTTAGCCCCACATTGATTAGAGTCAAATTATTTGTAATCCTAATACTATTAATAAGACTTGTGAGTAGAGGGACAAATCATCCTCTCTAGTTACTTTTTGATTACATGGTATCAGAGCTAAGGTCATGGTCCAAGTAATTTTACAAAAAAGAGAGAGAATGGGGAAAAAAGAGAAAAGATGAAGTCCAATGTGAAGCCCGAATGTGTCGGGAGCCAACAGATGCTCGTAGGAGTGATATAGTCTAGTTAACCACCATGAGTGAAGTGAAGATCATATGGATGTTTGATAACCATGTGCTGAATGCATGGTCTAGTTAGCCTACGAGTAAAGTGATACAATAATAAGTAAATTGGTTTAACCAAGAGTGAAATAATACAAAAGTTAGTGAATCCCGTAGAAGATTAAATTATAGTTGAATTGAACTGTACTCGCAAATTAAAGGGGAGGTGTTGGGGTGATTAATATGTGATACAGTCACACATCAAATAAGATAAGAAGGAACGATGAGTTTAAATAGGAGTTTGGGTCAATACCTAACAACTATAGCTTTTGATTTAAAATTAATTCATAGCTTCTGCCTAAGGCCCATTAACTCCAGATTGTGCCCAATTTCTCCCCAACACATGAGATGTATACGAAGCTAAATATATATCAGTTGGTAAAGCCCCCAGACATCTCTGCTTCAACCTACTAACTAAATTAAGTATTCTGAACAGGACAAATATGTCAGAGATTTTTTGTTGTGAACTTCAACTATTATCATGAAGAATACAGAAAACAGATATTGCAAATTTCAAAGATCTTAAGAAAAGAATTGTACAATAGCAAAACATTGCTATAAACTTGTTTGCAAGAATCCATGAAAGTTTACCTGAAGCAAGGAAATATCAGCAGCTAACTGAGATAATATTCCGGCAACAAAAGCATCACCAGCACCAGTCGTGTCTACTTGATCCACCTTTACACCACTTACCCTCCCATGGAATTCCTGTAATGGTGAAAGACATAAATGCTCAGGCAAAGAAGGGGGTCAAAGAGAAGAGGGGGAAAAAGAAAAAAAACCAGTTGTACATGAAATGAACTTGCTCCATAATACTGGGGGGGGGAAAGAGAATTAGTTTCAGGAGTTTCAGATCTACTTGGACAAGAACAAGCAAAATAATGGCTGATTTCTCAGGTTAGAATTAATACTTATTAGATAATTCAGTATTTATGAGCTTTTAAAGAGGTAATAAGTGATCCATGTATATAATCAACTTAAGCCTTAAATTTTAGGCAACAATAACCATCAGTTATTGTAGGCGTATAAAACTGCCTATGGGTCCCTTAGCACAGCTCGGCACGGTGATTCGACAAACCAACGAACCATCTGGGCGATGAATCCAAGAATGATCGTTAAACCACAATATCGAAGCTAAATGAGACGCGATGAAGCGGATTAATGAGGTGACGAGGTTAACGAATCGCACGCAAACGATGGTACGGGTCGATCAATCAACGAATCATTCAACCGTAGAGTCCACTACATCAATCAAGATCGGGAGCGGACTCGAACGAATCAAGATCAAATCAGGATCCGAACTCAAACTCGAACACCGAAGCGGATTTACTTCCAAATCAGAGTTCAGATCAACAAATCAGAGTTCGGATAAACCGGAAAACAAAAAAAACCAACATTTGGAGGACTCGGCCAAAACCGAGCCACCAGGAGGTGGTTCGGTGTCTCGGCAACCTTTTGGTGGCTAGGTGCCTCGGCCACCTTTTGGTGGCTAGGTGCCTCGGCCACCTTTTGGTGGCTAGGTGCCTCGGCCACCTTTTGGTGGCTAGGTGCCTCGGCCACCTTTTGGTGGCTCGCTAGGGTGTCGGCCACACGTGCACACGGGCACAGTGACGCTTGGCTATAAATAGGAGAGGGGGTTGTTCATTTTGAAGGGTTGGAAATTTTGGAGAGAGGCGAAGCCCTGCTGGATTGGAGACTCGGAACTTAAAAAAGATTGAAACTTTGGGACTTCGGGGACTCACTCCTTCAGATCTGGTGCTCGGCGATCATCAACGTCAAATAAGGCAGGTGTTCGAGAGGATCAGATCTCAGATCTACGCAGGCATACTCCGGATCAAAGCTTGGTCTTTGATCCCGAGATTTGGACGATTGTTTCCTTGGTGAAACAATCCTCCCCGGCTATTATTTCCTTGGTGAAATAATACCCGTCGTACTGCGTAGATCCGACCGGATCTAGATCTCGCGGTGGTCCACGACAAATAATCCCGGCGCAGGCAAAGAACCCACAAAGCGAGCGGCCGCAAAACAGGAGCTCATGATTCGTTCGACAAACAAGGAAACAAAGTTGTATTGTAATCTTTATTTTTTCTTTGATCTCGTTGTAACCGGATCTTATAAAAAGACCGGATCTTTGTAACCGATAAACTGTTAACAAAGTAAATGGAATCATTAACGAAGAAAACAACTTTTTCCGCGAACAATCTGGCGACCACAGTGGGAGCCACCGATCTCGCTGCCGAGATCGATGCGTCGTAGCCGCGGATCTCAATCCCGGTCGAAGAGGAGGTCGAGTACGAATTCGACCAACAGAAGTTCGAGGAGTATCTGTCATCCTCGTCCGGATCGACCCCCCCTCGCAAGTCCAAGAAGTTCTCCTCCAGGAGAAAGGTACGTTGGTACGAAGAAGTTAAAGCTACCAACGATGATCTCATCCCGATTGACGCCAAAGTTGCGTCGGGTGAGGTTCCACCAACCTCCAACCAGATCAAGCTGGTTCCTGCCAATTCCTCCGTCACCAAAGGAGCGAATTCCTTCGTCACCAAAGGAGCGGTGACTCTCTCAAAGAGAGCCCGCCAAAGGCGACGCCAACGTTTGGCCAAAGAATTTGCCAAAGCGTTGGAGTCCACCGACGGAATCCGCTACAACGCGGATCTGAAGAACAGGAGAGGCAAACAGCCTCAACGATCGATGAATGGCGACTCCTCAAAGCCGCCAACAAACGAATGGGTCCGTGTCAAACGGAACCGTTCAACACTGGAGGAGCGCATTTGCAAGCGCCGCGCAATGTCAGTGCAGGCACGGGCTCAAGTCCAAGAGGCCCGTAAAAGGCTACAGAAGGAAGTGGCCAAGAAGACGCCACCAACCCGTCAAGTTTGGAGGCTGAAGTCTGAAGCGTCGATTCTGACTAAGGCACAATCAGTGCAGCCTTCGAAGCAGGTTCAACCTCCGGCGAGCCGACCAAAGTCGCCGGTAATTCCAATAGCTTCTCCGGGAGATCCCGTGGAATCATCCCGAAGGAGAAAGTCAGTCTTGGAGCGCCTCGGTCCAATTCCCGACGAGAGAGGCAAAGCTCCAGTCCAAGAACGTTTGGGCTCGATGAAGATACCCCGAACGACTCAACACGCTGGGGGTCGCCGTCACCTCCAACATGACAAGGAGTTCAAGCCAGCTGCGCGCACTAATTTGCGCATCGAAGTCCAAGAGCACGCTGAGAATTCACGCCCAAAAAGGCATGTCTCGAGACGCGTGACTCTTGAGAGCCCAAAAAAGGCAGTTCGCCCTCAGAGGGAAACGTTGTCGTCTGATGACGATGACGTTATACCTGAGAAATCGTACCGACACACGATAGGTTACTCCGACCTTCAAACCGACGAGTTGTACTATCGTGATGGGAGCATGAGGAAAATCAGGAAGAGGAGTCCCCGAGGATTGGAAACTCAATGCTCCTGTTCCAAACTCATTTGGGCAGTATTGTCTGAGTGCAAGGCGGTCCCTGAAAGAGTTTTAGTTTTCGAAAGGCTCAGTGCCGAAACGCCAAAACCAAGGCCTAGGCGTTTCCGACGAAGAAGAAGAGTAGTCAAAGATGGAGAATTTTTGAGGGTCACCACGAATATGACCAGCAAAGGGACGTCGACACAGGAGAATCCCAAGTCAATTCCGGAAGTACCCCGGCGTGTAACCCGTCTGCAGTCCAGAGCCATCAGACGAGGAACTTATGGTAGGATTCGGACAAGACTTCCTTCAGAAGATGAAGAATCAGATGCCTGCTCTGCGGTCGCATCGGATAATACAGTATCCAGCGAGGGACAACCCCGCGAGTCGCTGATGATAAGCATCGAACAAGTGGCCAAGATGCTCGAACAAGCCATGGCTAAACAGCAGGAGAGCTTCAAGCACGAAATGCAGATGGCCATGCAGAGTATGAGAGAAATGCATGACCAGCAAATCCAAGCGCTGACAAACCAGCAAGGCGAGCCAAATCGTCGTAACCAGATTGATCTGGAAGATGAGGAAGCTCACAATGCCAATAATCCTCCCGTCAATACAGGGGGTGGTAACGAGAATGCTGATGAAGACTCAGGTGAAAACCTGAAGATTAAAAATCTCGAGAGCAAAATCAATACGTTGATTTCCGCTCAAGAGATGAAGAAGACGGGCATTCCTTGTCCGTACCCACGAGAATGGGAATCAATCCCCTATCCGGCGAAGTTCAGTCTAATTAACTTCACGCCGTTTGATAGGAAGGGTTCACCCACGCAGCATTTGATTTACTTCAAATCGCACCTGGGTGTTATCTCTGGTAATGAGCCTCTGATGGTACGGTCCTTCGTTGACACTCTTCGTGGAGCCGCCTTTGATTGGTATCGTCGCCTCAAGCCAGGAAGCGTGGATAGCTGGGACGACATGGAGACAAAATTCCTCGCTAATTTCTTCGATGACGACACTGAGAAATCCATCGGAACGTTGCTCGATGAGAAACAAAAGGACGGGGAATTGGTCGATGCCTTCGTCAAAAGGTTCCGGAACAATGCGATGAACTGTCGGGACCCGATCACTGAGGAGTTTATTCTCCAGACTTGCCACAATAACCTCACATTGGACGTGTTGGAGGCAATGGGAACGGCACCGTCTAACACTTGGAAAGACTTGAAGGTGCGCGGTGAACAAGCCGAACGCTTCCTCCGAAGGAAGAAGGCCGAGAGGAACCGACCGACGGCTAATCCTCCGAACTCGAACTTTGCCTCTCGTGGTAAAGGCAAATCACCTGCAACAGCTGTTGACGCTAACCAGACGTCGCAAAAGCAACTCCAGACTCCGACAAGTATAAGAGTATAAACTGCTTCTTAAGACTCCGACAAGTATAAGAGTATAAACTGCTTCTTAAGACTCCGACAAGTATAAGAGTATAAACTGCTTCTTAAGACTCCGACAAGTATAAGAGTATAAACTGCTTCTCAATCCTCCGACCGGTATAAGAGGTTAAACTGCTCCCTGATACTCCAACATGTATATGAGTCTAAACTGTTTCATTTCTTTCACGGGAAGTTCCTGGAGAATTTTTATATTCTTAAGGATAACCCAGTCATGTAACTGAGTACAATGTCGGACCCAGTTCCACAAGGGAAGCTGGGGGTGGATTATTCATGTATCGGGTGGTTCCCGAAAGAATACCACGGGTGATATTCTTAGGGATAACCCAATCACTATAAAAGTGATAAGTAAAACATCCACATTTAAACTCTAAATGTCGGAATGTTTTCCATTATTGTTATCAAATTCACTAATTCTCATGAGTTATCTTGTTGAGACGAGATTCGATCCTTTTGACAGATTAATCTTTCCTCACAAAAATCCCCCACTGATCAAGTCAATTGACGATGGGTCCACTAAATTTTCTGTCCACCAATTCATGGCAATTTCCAAAGCTTGACGTGTTAAGTCCTGATTACTTAACGTCAAAACCCTTCATCGAGTGGCCAGCACAAACCAGTATTTCTACTGCTACTTGTATTCCACTCCCTTTGCTTTCACGTCAAACCTATAAAACGACTGAAGTGAATCGACGAGTTACGTGAGCAGATAGGACTTCGGAATCACGAAGACCCGGACCAATCGGGAAGCCCGGCACTGTTCACAAAAAGGACAACGCCCTCCGTGCCTCGACCACTCTAAAGACAATCCAACCATCAGAGCGGATCGAACTCTTC